TATGTAGGCTACATAAAAAAGATAAGGAAATAAAAAGAAAATAATTTTAAAAAAAAGAAAATCAAAGGGTGTATGTTTAATTTTGACTGCATTGAAAATTTGCGTTTGTAAGAGCTTAATTCATATAAGTCTTGTATGGAGTTCTACATCATCGCATTTCCATGTTCAGGTAACCGTGAAATCTGGGTCAAATCATAATTTGGCATATATTACTTCACAATGAACATGTGTTGATGTAACCACAAACTAACCTCAAACCAAAACGTTAACCTGCTACGCGACGGACGGACGCACAAACTGGAATAAACAATGCCCCTTTACTACAGATCTAGAAAATTGAAAGAAATAGAAGAAGCAAAGTTTGAGAATAATAAAATTCGGTGATGATGACTAAGGGATTGGTGTTTGATTTTGTTGATTGGAAAATTTGACGTTGTTGGCAGGTTTTCGATAGTGTTGTTGCTTTCTCTGTGACTATGAGACGCCCACTTGATTTTAGAGGGAGGGAGCAGGGCAGGAGTATTTTGGAAATAAATATTTTAGCCTGAACTGAAAAAAAAAATATTTAAAAATATTTTTACACACATTTTGTTTTGTAAACTTCACTGTCCATATAATATTTTTAAGTGGAGCAAATTTATTTAATCAACAATCAATGTACCGGCATGTGTATTTCCTATACATTATATATATATATACATCATACACATTCTACGTTTGGTTGACATGTTACGGGAGAAAACTGTGCTCCTTTTTTCCAAAACATTTGTCTTTATCCACATTATGTAGTCTTCAAACAAGGATTTTCAAGACGAATGAAAAGAAACTAAAATAATCCTTAACTTCAGTCATTTATATGATGATGTCTTCTCATTGAATAATTCATAGTAAAATGATCATGTCGACCCCATCTACCCTTTTGAACTTCAAATAAAAGATACTGAAGATACAGGTGTCTGCTTCATATCTTAACTTACATATAGACAATGAAGGTTCGTTGCAAACTAGACTTTACAAGAGATGTCCCAATTTTTCCTATGCTTCACTTTTATGTAACGACATTCCAAAATAACCTGCATGTGCAGTCTTTATCTCCCAGTCGATACTATGTTGATTGCATATTTTTTTTTGTCATGATTACCTTAAAGAAGTTTATAGATTTGCTGCCTACAGGGAAGCTACAAGGATTTTGATAAATGAAAAAATTGACATCTACCTTCTCAGATGATTATGGACATGTTTCAACGGCTACCAAATGAGAATTATCATTAGAATCTTTACCTCCCCCACCCCAAGCACTAGGATTCACTCCTTATTTTGTTTGAAAGCAGTGTATATTCCATTTTCTATTCTGTTATGTGTGATATTTAGTACAAAGTTAATCTATTAATGTCAAATAGTTTTAAAAAGGATATGGTGTATTAGTTCAGGAAACAAATGCAAATCAAAAAACCAAATCACCAATATTTTAATTGTTGTTCTTTATCTCGAAGTCACATCGATATCTCCAGCATGGGCAAAAATTCGAACCTCACTGCAATTTCAAGACAGCCCATAGCACCCATTTGAGCAGAATTCTTTGCTAAACTTTTATCACAGTAAATCAACAAATTACCATGCGTAATCTTATTTTTATTATCCCTTTGCTTTGTTATTTTAGGACCAAGCAAAGCAAAGGGATAATAAAAATAAGATTACGCAGTAGTAATTTGTTGATGTACTGTGCTGTTTTTGCAATTGACAAAATGAAATGTAATCTATCACTGATACAAAGGTTTAAGAGAAATAATCGTTCTGCCATCAGATAAAGTCATTAAGCTGGCATTCATTGAAAGGAAAATTAATTGAGCACCACATAAAAAAAAAAATAACAGCAATCGCCAAAAATACTGCAAAGTCTTTTATCTGAAGTATTTTGCTAACTCTTGAGCCCAAAGCATGTGTTTTTTATTATGTTTGTTTTACCTTTTGTTAGGAATCTGACCAAGTAGAACCCAATTTGATAACCCATCACATGGTTTTATGCCATCTAATGAAAACACTTTACAACTCAAACTGTGGATCCACTTCAGCATCTATATATGTGGCATTTTTTATTTGTTGCTTGTTTTACAAGTCTGTTTCAGATGGTTTTAAAATTTGCAAACATTGACCATATTTAGAACTTATTATAATCTTCTGGGGAATGTATTTATCTTAAAGATTCAGGGGAAGAAATAGAATATTTCTTAGTAATTGATTGGATATTTTTCGAAATGTTTCCCACCTTATATACCTTCTTTTCCATTGAAATGCATTACAGTTTTTGTTCAGTAGTTACATATTATTCCGTGAGAAAATTCCAATTTGAATGAAGAAGTATAGTTATGATTTATTTACTTTTGGAACCATTATTACTGTGCTGTTGTGTCAATTACTTTTACCTTCTTTTCTTAAACAACTCTTGAAGTCGGTTTTTATCAGTCCCAGAAAGCGAGACAGAGATAGTGATCCGGCAGCGTTAACTATCTACTTAGGGAGCTGCCATTTGATTTTTATGGGGGGGGGGATGAAAAAATTTGTCCTGCATTTTTTTTTAGTTGTAATCTCTGTCCTGCCTTTTTATTTTTCACTGCATCGGTCCTGCCTTTTTTATCATTAGTTTATCCTGATTTTTTTTTACATAAATTGTCATCCTGTCTTTTTTTTTCCAAGTTGCTCATCCTGCCTTTTTTTTTACTCTAAACTCCTGTCCTGCCTTTTTTTCAAATTTCATCCTAGCCCCCATAAAAATCAAATGGTAGCTCCCTTAAGAGCTTAATATTTCAAAAGGTAAAAGACCTGTATGCTTCATACTTTGTATATAGATGCCTAATGTTAAGAAGTCTCTGTCTATTATATGCCCATTGTCCTTGACCTCATTTTCATGGTTCAGTGACTACTTGGAAAAAAGTTATTAATTTTTGTTATATCAATTTCTCTAATTATGAGTAATAGGATAACTATATTTGGTATGTATGTACCTTGCAAGGTCCTCATACCTGTCAGACAGTTTTCACTTGACCTTGACGTCATTTCATGGATCAGTTAACAAGGTTAAGTTTTCATGGTTGTCCATATCCAAGATACTATATTCAATAGGCCTACTATATTTGGTGTATGGAATGATTGATTGTAAGGTGTACATGTCCAACTGGCAGGTGTCATCTGACCTTGACCTCATTTTCATGGTTCAGTGGTTAAAGTTTTTGTGTTTTGGTCTATTTTTTATAGTACTGTATGCAATAAGTCAACTATATTTGGTGTATGGAAATATTTTACATATCAGTCTGGCAGGTTTTATTTGACTGTGACCTCATTTTCATGGTTCATTGGTCAATGTTACGTTTTCCTTGTGAAGTTTGTTTCTTAGACACTGTATGCAATAGGTCAACTATATTTGATGCATGGAATGATGGTAAGTTGTACATGTATTTTTAACTTAGTTTATCTGACCTTAACCTCATTTTCTTAGATCATGTTAAGTTTATATGATACTTGTTGTAAAACAGTATAATTAGGACTATCAACATAAAATCAATGGCCAGTAAAGCAGGCGAGACTTTTCAGCGTGTGGACTCTTGTTAGTCTTAGATAAATGATTTTTTTTATAGTTATTGACTTTGAATTAGCTGTCAGTTACTTCGAGTACTAAAAGACTGTAGCTGTAGTGGGATGTATGAATACCCTACCACACCCAGTCCTTGTTTTTGTTAGATGTTTTTCTGCCTCTTATTGACCTGATGAGTTAAGCCCTTTTCAAATGATTTCTTATTGTTTGTTCTTATCTTTTGTACTGCTACACCACTGTCCTAGGTTAGGGGAGGGTTAGCGCTTTCAATCATGTTCAACTCCGCCACATTCTTTATATGCCTGTCCCAAGTCAGGAGCCTGTAGTTCAGTGATTGTTGTTGGTTTTTGTTTGTCATATTTGTTTTTCTTAAATTGATTTGTTATAAATTAGGCCGTTAGTTTTCTCAATTGAATTGTTTTATATTTTTCATGTCAGGCTTTTGATAGTCGACTATAGGGTATGGATTTTTCTCATTATTTTAGGGCTGTATGGTTGCCTATAATTGCTTACATCCACTTCATTTAAACTTTGGTGAAGAGTTGTCTCATAGGCAATCATAGTACTGTAAACGGGAAAATTTTCGCACTGTCTTTTTTTTGCGATTTTCCAACAAATCTAAATTCGCGATGTCCCAGTCGGTGTCCTATATAAGTTTTTTTCATAAATGATTTGGAAACTGTACAGCGTTAATCAATGTATTTAAATCAAGTGATAAAACCAATCAAAATTCCTTTTTGTCGGTTCACATTTAAAACAATTAGTCATGTTTGCTTGTAAAAACACAATCCCAATAAACAAATAGGAATGACCAAATTAAGAGTGAATTAAATGCTGACAGAATTACTGCTTATTAGTTAATATTTTAATCTGATTGATCTGTGCAGCAGATACAATAGGTATAATCATTTTAAAACTGATTGACAGGTGTCAATTACATAACTGTAATGATAGTTGTTTATTTAGGAATATCTGTAATGTCCACTTGGATTAATTAGGACTATCATGAGATAAAGTATTGATATCTAACGCTGACTTTCCTTTAGAAATAAAGTTATGTTATGCGGTATAGATCTGTCGTCTGTAAAACTGATGTTTTAAATTCGCCTTCTACATATCCTATTGACATATGTTCATGTATGGTTTTCATATACGTGTTCAGATTTCCTTGAAATATTCACGGTCGTTTTATTTTTGCGTTTCAACTCTTACCACGAAAAAATAAAAATAAAACTCCGCGAAAAATTTCCCTGTTTACAGTTTACATTTTCTTATTTTCATATGGTCAACTGATCATGTTTATGACATATTAAAATATGTCATCAGACCCGTCATCATATCTAGCAATCATCAACAACTAACAAGGTTCATGGGAAAAAAAGGTTAAAACATTTTTTTAAATAAAACTAACAACAATTAAGTTTTTATTTCACTCAAATGCATTAAGTCCAATATTGTTCTTTCTTGACACACATTCTGTAACATTCTTGTAGCAAATCTTTGCCTCTTTATTTTTTTGGTCTAGAATTTTATGCTGTCACTTTCTGAAACCGGTTATTAAGCAAAACTTGACGTTTAAACATGTAATTATCTGTGTCTGGGTTAAATCCTTTCTCCCAGTAGTTTGATGGATGCTGAAATATAAAAGAAAGATGATTTACACGAAAATCTTACACAATTCATATTCCTTGATTTTTATACAACATAAAAACACAATATTATGGCAGTACCTGCTATTTCTATTGAAAATGAAAGACTATAATAATGACAGACAGATGGACAGAAGCAATGATACTGAATAGCGGGTTTTTTTGCGGGTGTAAAATTTTGCAATTTAGGGGCAACGAGGTATACGAAAAATTTTGGCGATTTTTATTTTGGCGGATTCTAAATTTCCAATTAAATATTTTGGTGGATACTGAATTGGTTGCTATTAAAATGTTGTAAAAAGTGAAAGGCAGAAAACAGTTAAACATATCTTTGCTGAATGATGTCTTATTTATAGAATATATTCAGATTCAGTTCTTCAATAAAATACCGGTAGCATAGATAATTGTCACAGGTGTACAAACTTCTTGTAAAGTTTACAGTTGATTAGTTACGAAATTGACCGGACCTTTGATGTACTAACTAGGTAATAAAATTATCTTGAGTGACTTACAACTCTTACATAATTTCACACTAATTAAGAAGGGTAAAATACCTAACTGATTACCTTACACTCTTATATTTTTTGACACTAAATAAAAAGGGTATACATATACATTTTTGAATTAGCACCCTTTTAATAAAATACTTGTATGTTCAGTGCCCTTTGGCATTAATGTTAACACATACCGTTAATGACCTGCTGACCAGATAAAAACAGACCATTCACAAAAGATATATAGCTATTAGAATGTACCGAAAGTATGCATAAACTTTCACGATTTTCTCTTATCTGCCAAGATAAGCGAAAATAAACGCCCCACGAAAATAACCCACTATACAGTAAAAGCTAATTTATGACTTAAATGGTATGGTGAGCTAACTAGAGGTTCCCATGAGTCTATCTTCCACCTAGTTTTGATTAATTAATTTGACTATATAAGAGAAAGGTTTCACAAGAATAAACACAAAGTTCAATAAATTTAAAAGAAAATGCATCAAACCATTTCATCAATATTTTTTCACATTAGGCTTATACATTATAAGACTAGTTTTTCTCCAATTCCTAATGTTCTATTCAAAGTAACAGAGGAGACCTAGTTCACTGGCAGTTTTGATAATCTTCCAGGATTAAACATTTAATACTCCTATCGTTGTGCAGGAATTCATCCTTGTTTAGACCATGTGTTGTTCGTCATTGTTTGTAGGTCTACCAACATGTATAACTGGTTTAACCCCATCTCTTTTGGTTAATTTTCTGTTACCCTTTTTATGTTTTATTTTTTAGATTTGAGTGTTCAGATGGAACAGATGTCCTCTTAATAAGAGGATTTGTAAGAAGTTTTTATATTAAGAGTATGGCTTCACCATAATACCTGGAGTCTCATACATTTATTCAAAAAGAGTGAAGTCTTTCCATACAAACTGTACTTACACAATTGACCACAAGATCATAGTTGTCATGATCCTGTATGCAGATTTCTGGGGATAAAAAGGCATCTTCCATACCAAGGAAAAACTTCCTGTCGTAAAAGTAATCTGTTGCTGTCCTTTATAAAGAATAAAAAACAAGTTATAAGAAAAAAAATCACAAATAATTAGAAATACTGAGAACAAATTAACAAATGACACATAAACACAATGCATAATGCAGTTCTTATATCTTGGGAAATGTAGCACCAATCATGAGTAAAAATAAAAGCTTATTGGAAATACCTTGTTTTACTGCTCCAAAAATATACTTTTTGTGCATCAAAATGTATAGTAAAAAAAAATATACATTTGGTTTTAATTTCATAGAGTTTATTTACATGTACATGTATTTATATTGAACAACTTAACTAATGTTTTACTTTATTCGACACTGTATTTCAGTTCCAACAAGGCTTCATGAAACAACATATTACAAGCCTACAAACCATGATTCATTTAATTACCTGGTCATGTTGATCATTACAAAACAACCAGCATAAACCTGGCAGCTAAAGTACAACCCCCCTACTGCAAGTAATGAGATTTAATTTGACTACTTTATTTTTTCCAGTTGGCTCTCATTTAAAATGTCTATGTTTAGGACAGAGTCCTGTAAAATTGCTAGGGGTTTCTTATATATTAAATCTGTCCTGTTTATCCGCCATTCAATATCTCAACAAAATAAAGAGGGAACATCTAATTAACTCTGAGATGATTTTTATTTAATATATAAAATTCATGTAAAGGGGTAGACACTACAATGAAGACTCGTATAAAATTTTAATGAGTAAAAACAGACCAACTTCAAGACTAAAAATCTTATGAAAATTATGATATGTCTATACTGTTGTTCCATATTTCAAAATATATAAAATTGTGACCCACAAGTTTGTCTTTTAAAGTGACACTCCATTACATGCCAATATATTTATTAATCTTGCCACTCATATTTGCCTGTTGTCACTGCTTCTATCTTTAATACAAATATATTGACTGAGTTTGAAGTTTCTCTACCTTCCAAAGCAATATAATTATCAATCTGACACAAATTTCCATTTTGAAATATAAACTTTTACTTATACACTTAAATATGACCATAGTCATGTTAGTGTTGTTCTCTGCACCAATACATATATATCTATAACACTCACATTTGTCTTTTATAGTTCCACTTCCATTCCTTATCTTCATACCAATCAAGAAATTTTAACTTATCAGTTTTACATGGAGGTTCAAGATTAAGCTTCTGCATTTCAAACAAAATCTGAAAGTTATATATGCACAATTAATGTATAATTATATGCTGATTAATGTCAGTCATCAATGATTTCATCATACCTATCAAAGACAAAAACAACAGATGACAGATTCCAAGTGATGGAAAAAGCTCACACTGGCCCTTTGTGGACAAGTGAGCTTAAACAGATGGATTATTAAAATCTTTCATACTTATTCTGGACAAAAATATGATGTTAAGATAGTAAATATTTTTTTCTTCTAGACTGACACAATGAGCAGAACTTTGATTATTTTAGCTGACAGAAGGTACTCAGAACTACATAACACCCTTGTTGACATATTATTGTAGCTGACAGAAGGTACTCAGAACTACATAACACCCTTGTGGACATATTATTGTAGCTGATAGCACCCTTGACTTGTGGACATATTATTGTAGCTGACAGAAGGTACTCAGAACTACATAACTCCCTTGTTGACATATTATTGTAGCTGACAGAAGGTACTCAGAACTACATAACACCCTTGTGGACATATTATTGTAGCTGACAGAAGGTACTCAGAACTACATAACACCCTTGTGGACATATTATTGCAACTATAAGCCACCAATTCTTTGCTCTTACTCCCAAATGTGGCAGATTGATTGCAGCCATAAGAAACTTTTAAATCTGTGGTCTGGAATCTGTAGGTAATTATTAAAGCATAGTATCAGTAGTTTTAGTAATATAAACACTGCATTACATACTTCATCCATGTTTTCCACTTCATCTAAATCATATGTAAGAACTTCTCCCCAAATTCTGAAATAAAAAGTATACAATTCCATGAAGACTTTAAATAAAAGCAACAGAATAGAAATAAATTTGGAATGTGTCCATGGGACACAGATGATGCCCCCGCTTGCATATCATATAAAGATATAAAGGGACATAACTGAAGAACGGTAAAAGTGACGCTACCCAAATTTGTACTTGATCTGAGTTTTGTGGTAATAAGCATTGTGTATAAGTTTCATAACATTTGGTTGAGGCAAACTAAAGTAAGAGAATGGAAACGAAAAATTCAGCAATTTTTATGTTTATAAATGAGCATAACTCAAGAATGGTAAAAGTGACACCAACCAATTTCAAACTTGATCTGTATTAAGTGGAATAAGCATTGTGTAGAAGTTTCATAATGTTTGATAGAGGCAAACTAAAGTTAGAGAACGGAAACGAAAAATTTAGCAATTTTTATGTTTATAAAGGGGCATAACTCAAGAACGGTAAAAGTGACGCCACCAAATTTTGAACTTGAGCTGTATTATGTGGTAATAAGCATTGTGTATAAGTTTCATAACATTTGGTTGAGGCAAACTAAAGTTCGAGAACGGAAACCAACTTTGGGATGCACGTACGTACAGACGGACAAGGGTAAAACTTACATGTAATGCCACCTCCGCTACGGCAGGGGCTTAAAAATGTACTTTAGTGATTTGGTATAAATGTCAGTTTTTGAAAGCATCCGTTAAATTTATTCACCACTTTTCTAGACTTTGGTAAGTTAGAGCTTGACACATTGTGTAGACAATTGTCTACTGTTGTTTTTTTCAGAAAAACCTGAACATGACTAATTATCAGTTTTCCTATCATTTTTACTGAAAAAAGGTGCCCATATGCAATTATGACAATGATCTTTAAAACAAGTCTACCGTCAATTTCATTAATCTGCAAACTTTGATCTCAACATGTTCAGATTAAGGTGCACAGAAAATAAAGAAATTATCCATCAATATCTATTTAATGAAATGGTGTGTAACTACAACAGTGTTCCAGCTAGGATTTCACAAGGGCAGGGAGTCTTGAATGTTCTTACAAAGGCAATAATATATGTTTGAAATGCCTAATACATGTAGCCCAGTGTTTCTGATTATGATAGAAATAATAAATGAATTATAATAAACTACATTGAGTTTTTCAGAATTAAAATCCATTTAACCATGTCTTTTCAGACTGTTAAACTTATATTTGTAATATCATATATAAAAAATATATACCCCCCCCCCCCCCTTTTCCATTATACACACCCCTAGATGTAGAGTATTAAAGTATTATCAGTTTCACCCCAAGAAAGTATTCATTTTTAATGAAATAATCTTAGCAGTTAATCAAAATGAAAATATTACTGTCTATAAATAACAATGAAATGTAACTGTTTCTTGTTAAAGGGGTTTTCCGAATTTTCCCGCCAAAAAATTCGTAAGGGTTCCGCGGAACCCAGTGTCTCGCCTACTTTTGCTTTTAATTGCAGGCTCAACAAAAATGAGGAAAAAAATCAATAAAAATATTCCTTTAGATACTATCTTTAGATTGTAAGAAGCTTCTGTCAAAGTTTGGTATAAATCCAGGATAGTTTATGAATCTAATAAATGTTTTTCAAAACTTTAACTGCAGACTGTATTTAATGTTAACAGGAAGAAAAACTAAGTCCATTTATAAGTAAAATACGGAAAAAAAGAAATTTTATTTTTAACAAATTTACTTCTGGATATTATCTTATGATCATAAACAAGCTTCTGTCCAAGTTTGGTACAAATCCAGGATAGTTTAAGAAAGTTATTAAAATTTTAAAAACTTTAACCACAGAGTGAATGTAATGTTTCCTGGCAGAAAAACTAAGTCCATTTACAAGTAAAATACGGAAAAACAGGGAATTTTATTTTTACAAAATTTACTTCTGGATACTATCTTATGATCATAAACAAGCTTCTGTCCAAGTTTGGTACAAATCCAGGATAGTTTAAGAAAGTTATTAAAATTTCAAAAACTTTAACCACAGAGTGAATATTTGTGGACGCCGCCGACGACGCTGACGGAATGTAGGAACGCTATGTCTCGCTTTTTCGACTAAAGTCGAAGGCTTGACAAAAAGCACATAGCTTTCAACAAATGTAAACAAAGAAGTCAATTTGTGATCATGGATTACAGCTTTAATTAATTTAATTGGGATATAGATATTCAATGACAGGTACAGTCAAGCATTGTTTTTACTTTCTTCTGGATTAAAACAAGTTTAAAAGATCAATTTAAAAAAAAAATCTTTGACATATTAACAACAGACGATCTACGGATACATCAAACGCAAATTGTCATCTTTTGAGAAATACTGAAATTGAAATGCTGACTGACCGAATTTAATGAGAAAAATTATTACAATGGTCAATTATGAAGTTTAATTAACGGATTAATGACCCATCCGATGTCGATAAGCGGATTATCTGTAATCACAACTTATTACACCTGCTGTAAATGTTAACTAGCTGAGGGTCATAAACTTGTCATAAATATGAAGACAGGTAGAATAATTGTATTTTTATCAAAATATTACGGCAATAAAGGCATGGACTTACGAAAAAGGGCAGGGCGTCTTAAAAAGGGTACAGGGCGTCAGAAAAAGGGCACAGGGCGGCACTCGGTAAAGGGCGGGCTGACCGCCCTGTGAAAACGACCTAGCTGGAACACTGTACAATGGCATCCAAACTAACATCTCATTCGAAATGTAAAGTTCAATTATATTGCTTTCAAGATGTCCAAAAGAAATTATTTAGCTTCATGTACCTCTTCACATGCTTTTCTAATGATGTGTAATATTCCAATAAAACTTGGCTTATAGTTAAGAAAGTGTTGTACATGTATTTACAAGATTCATGGACAATTCAACAATGGGATGGATAGGGTGACTCTTAACTAGCCTGTTTCAGCAGGTATAATAAACTTGTCATCTCAGTTCACAATAAATGTCCTTATCATTTGATTAATTAAACATTTCAGGTCATCTATTATAAGTTATAAGGTTTGCTACTGACACTCTACAGATCCATAGAGGGTCAGTAGCAAACTGTATAACGGATTTATAGTCCCCTATGAAATCTACATGTACTGATCCCTATGGGTGCATAGGGGGTACCACATGAAGGCATTAAACCAATCATATCGTCACTAATTTACCAGAGGTGCGATAAATACATGTTTGAATCATTTTCAAAGTGCACAGTGATTTATGATTTACAGCAGGGCTTCCAAAATTATTTTTAGCCAGCCGGACATTTTAAATATTATCCCGATTTTAATCCCTTAAGACTAAATAAACAAAAGGCAATTATGGTAATCAGTTGCCGAGTTGGCCATCCCAATGATTGATATTTAAAAAAAATGATATTAAACTTTCATTGATTCAAATTCGAAGTTCTGACGTAAACTGTTAAATTGGCAGTGCATCATCCGAAGTGTGCAACATCAGCGTACTTATATCTGCCTTAGACTCTTTATTTGTGCAAAATAACGTTGTCAAAAACTTTACTTTCTTTTTAAATCTGAAACCGGATGTTATCTTGACAATGGTAAAACCTGGACCAGAGACGGATAATTTTTTCATCAAATCTTATTTGTAAATGTATTTCTGATAATTTAAATCTTTTTGACTAAATAAATTAGATGCAAACCGGTGAAATGTAAGAAAATAACTTTGAATAGACCGATCAATGTCCGTTTCAAAATAGTTTACCTGTCACCTGAACAGGTAAATTTCAGCTGTTCGACAACTAATTAGCCTTGATTAAAATGAGAAGGTATTAAAGTAGGGGTTGTTTTGATAGTATCATGTCACTTTTATGATCGGAAATGTGTGGCTGTTAAAGGCAAAAGGTTGGGTCAAAAAGATCGCGAATTATGTTAAAATGACCGTCTCTTAAGAAAGCCTTGAAATCTAAAAAGTAGATGACCGTTTCGTGCTTTGCCCAGCCGGACTTTTACCGGACATTATACAAATGTCCAGAATATATGACCGTTTTGGAAGCCTTGATTTACAGAGGTATTTCTACTACAATAAAATAATTAAATAACTGTTGATGATGACTTACTTGAACCTTGGAAGTACTTTTGTTTTATAAGTATCTTCTATAGTCTGAAGGTACTGGTCTGTCAGTAATGGACTATCCTTCTCAATTGGCTGAAATACATGCCATATCCATGTTAACAATAAGCAACATAAGATGTATAAATAAAAGAATAATGTGTATGAAGACACGAATGCCCCGGCTCAAGCTTTGCAATTTTCAAAGTTAAAAAGGGGCATAACTCTATAACGGTAAATGACTCACTGCCCAAATTCGATCTCTGTCTGTTTGTTATGGTTCTTAAAATTGTGTATGAGTTTGATCAAATTTGAGGCAAACTTAAGCTGGAGTGCGGAAACTGAAAAAAATTGCAATTTTCTAAGTTGTAAAGGGCATAACTCTAGAAGAGGAGGGGGGCAAGGGGTGTGTAATTTAAGGTTGTAACAAGGGGTTTAGCTGTTCTTGTCTTATTCCTTGTTAGCTGTTATAGAACGTTTATTTTTTTTGCTATCTGTTATTGTGATAATGTATTTGCTGTTAACTGTTATTGAAAATTGGAATGTTAGCATTTTGACAGCCAATCTTCGGTAGAAATTGAAGACCATTGACATAGGGTCTTACCACTGGTAATATGTTGATCCCTTATTGGGAGAAGGATTCCAGTAACATACACATCACAGATCATCACATAAACATGTTTCTTCCCCCTGTTACTGATTTACTGTTATCTGTTTTTATCCCTTTCAATTTTTTTGTTATCTGTTTTAAGCCAAATTAATTTGCTGTTTTGCTGTTATTGGACCCCCCCCCCCCCCCTTTTTTGCCCCTCCTGCCCAAATTCAAACTCTGTATGCAAGTTTTAGTTCTTAGCATTGTGTATGAGTTTAATAAAATTTGCAAAGGGCAAATTTAACTTAGAGTGCGAAAATGAAACTGGGACAGACGGAAAGACAGACGGTAAAGGGTAACACTAGCCGCGGCAGGGGCATTTAAAAACTGATTGCTAACCCATATTGGAAATTCCAAGACCTGGCTAACAGTGCAACTAGTCTAATGAGAACCTACAGAACAATGGTATTCACTACTATAATATAAATAACTGTACTCATAAAATAAGTTGTCTCAAGAGTGGCTTGCTTGCAATAACAGTCAAATTTAACAATAAATTCCATAACTTACAAAAATCATCAAATCAAGATGACAGTATAGGTCAACTACACATGATGACTATAAGTTCTTGTTAATATGAAAGCTATTGGAGGAAAGGTGTCGGTGTCATTACACTATAATGTGGCAAAAATAGTCAAAATCCAATAACTCTGACCAAATTAACAAATCAAAATGGTAGTTTGCATAATGATCAACTTTAGCTATATGTAAACATTTTAATAATTAAACGTATAAAAACTATGTGCTAACAAGTAGTTCATTTCATTTTCACACCTGATCATAGTAAAAGCTGTTATAATATGCAGATTATAAAAAAGAATTATGATTATCACTTGTATTTTTAATGTAAGATAAATGTTCCAATGTTGTAGCTACTTACATTGTTCCTCTTTTTAATGAGTTCTTTACACTGGTCAACTGAGGCATCAATATACAATACTACATGCGGCATCCATATATACTGAGGTTGTTTATACACTTTATTATAATAGGTTTTTCCTAAAATAAAATTGAAATATATTTGTTGAACAATTTGTGAAATACAAACAGTTTCAAACATGAAAATAGACTTTGATAGTAGATCTCTGTTAAATTCATTCACAGATATTTTGGATCATTTTGGCAATTTAAAGCTTACCATTCATGATTGTTTGTTTACCTCTAGATGTCATTTGGGTTTAGGTTAGTTTTTAGTATGCCAATTGATCTAAACCCCAGATCTCATTTTATTCATACATAACCATGAATTCTCAGTGGTTAAGTTGAAGCCATCTCTTCAAAAATTTTATGGGCACTATCATGAGTTGGTTGATCACATATATGTTCCAATTATCTTAGCCGTTTTCTCCTGTTATCATGTCCTATATTATGAAATCAGGGAATCAGACTTAACAGCGAATTAGTACATACCTTGGGCAACATAATAGGTGCCACATGAAGAGCAGGATCTGCTTACCCTTCCAGAGCACCTGATATCCCACCAGTTTTTTATGTAGTGTTTTGTAGACTTGTTAGTCTTTTCATTTTTTTTTTGCTTTTTGCCATGATTTTTGTCTGTCTCTATTAAACCTATGAATTTTGTTTCTCTGCTTTGGTATCTTCCCTCTCATTTAAAAAAAACAAAACTAAACCAGAAATACAAAAATATTAGTCAAATATGTAAGATATATATGCAATCTAAGTTCATACATTTGTACATGTAGTCCTCAATTCCCTGCAACTAGCTACACTGCAATACTCCCATGTAAAGGTAACATTATTTTTGCTAAAGTGACTATTAATAGCTTTTGCCATAGAATGACATCACATAAATCCCTTTTTTTATGCACTGCAATACATGTATGTTGACTCGGTTGTATGATTAAATGTAGAATTTTCAAACAAATAAAAAAAAAGGATTAATCTGAGGCAAATCAAAAACAAGCAGAATGCAATTTTAGTTTTTTAGTGTAAGCCAACATTGGTTTCTGAGAAATGGAGAATCACGGAACTTATAAGTTAAAGACAAAGAATCAAATGTCTCCCTATTTCCTATATCTACTGTGCAAGTTAAAATCAAATGTTTCCCTATTTCCTTTATCTACTGTGCAAGTTAAAATCAAATGTTTCCCTATTTCCTATAATCCTTTACCTACTGTGTAAGCTAAAATCAAATGTCTTCCTACTTCTATATCTACTGTCATGTGCAAGTTAAAATCAAATGTCTCCCTATTTCTATATCTACTGTGCAAGTTAAAATCAAATGTCTCCCTATTTTCTATATCTACAAATGTACTGTGCAAGTTAAAATCAAATGTCTCCTTATATCCTATATCTACTGTGTAATTTAAAATAAAATGTCTCCCTATATCCTATATCTACTGCGTAAGTTAAAATCAAATGTCTCCCTATTACAAATGTACCTATATCTACTGTGTTAGTTAAAATCATGCATACCAAATACTCTTAATTTTATATAAACATGAAAAAGTTATTTCATGTACAAAAACTTTGAAAAGCTGCTTTAGGCACTTTGCTCTTTTTATAAAGCAGTTCTGCCAAGTTTTGTTCCATTCCAAGGAAAACGGAAAGAGATTTTGATTAACAAACCTATAATTTGTTACAGCCTTGAATTCTGTGTTTTTCTTGGTGAAACTCCTAAAATTTACTGATGCATAAATTGAACACAAAAACATATCAAATTGTGATCTTAGGTGATTCTCTTAAGTTTTGTTCTATTCCAATCTAAACTGTATGAGGAATTTGTATACATGTACATGTATATCATGTGTTTATTTATAAGTTCAAAAGGGAAAGTTTGGAAATGTAACTTATGCTACAGTTTATTTGATCATCTATTCTTCACCACAAAGTTTATTGAAATCACTGCAGACCTGCTGAAATGTCTTAAATTACCTTCACGGGTGAAATATCCACATTTGGACATAGCATCAGCAAAGCAACGATCACTCCAGTAACTTCTCTCAATCACAACTCCTTGTCCTGAAATTAATACTTTATACTATGATTATCTACATGTATTGCATTTTGAAAACACATTTCACTACATAAATTATTTGTAACAACATTTTGCAACTTCATAAACAAAATGTTCACATCCTAATGAAATGCAGTGTATGATATTTAACTGCTGACCAAATGTTTTGACTCAGAAAGCCCTGAAATCAGAAGAAAGAGATGTTTGTGTCAAGAACAGTGACAGCTGTTAAGTCTGATAATATTTTATATCAAATTTTGAGGAAAAAAGGCCCAAATTTAAATCAAACAAATGTTGTATTAAATCTTGAACTCTTGATATAGTGACCAATTACATCTGCTAATCAAAGTGCCGCTATAAAATGTGTAAAAAACTTTGACAAAGTTATTGATGTTCAAAAAAAATGTAACCACAGACTGAACCTAAACTGACACTGCCAACGACGGAATCTAGGATCGCTTTGTCTCACTTTCGCAAAATAAATTTTGCAAGCTCAACAAAAATGACATATCTCAAAATCATATACTTTAATATCTGTAAAAGCAGTATAACACCATATAAATGTTACCTAATACATACATGTATTTCTCCAATCATTAAAATTTACACAACTTTTACATGTGCAAATTGCCACCTACATTTTTTTTTTTATGTACCCTGAATCAAGTACAACACAAAACTCTCCCGATTTTATAGTAATCATTCATTAATTTATATGGGGGCCGGATTGACTTAGGTCGATTCAACTCAGGTCGAAACGATATGGGGTCAGAACGACATGACACAGAAATTTTACCTTGCATCAATATAAAAATAAGGAGATCAACATTTTATATCGGAGAGTTGTCGCTATGATTTGGTAATCATGGTAATAACATGTAGTTTACATGATACTGTTTTTGAAAAAAAAATTTAATTTACCTGTATTTAATAAATGACGCAGAGCTAAATTATAGTTGAAAAATCGTTTCTTGAACATTTCCAGTTGTGTTCTTCCAAATCCTAAAACATCTTGTGGCTGTTTTGCAGTGTATAGATCTTTTAAATCATAGAACCTATCCTCTCCAAGACGAGGATTTAATTCCCTCTGATCAAATCCATTTTCATTGACAAAAATTGCCTCTTCTGGTACATCTGGTAAGAAAAGCATATCAAATTCTTCAGCTATCTTTTTTCCGACTCTAACCTTATCGGTACCTATACTTCCTTCAACTATAATTATCTTAGAGTTCTCATCTAACCTTTTTGTTGTGTGTTCGTAAATCTGATGCATCCAATGGTATGGTTTATTCTTATAATCCCAAGGTGGATATAGTTTTGCTGGAAGGGGGTTTATTGTGTCCTTGGCAGAATGCAACTTGGCTATTTGAGTTACCGAGGTATTGACTGCCGCGGGTAATAACTTCAATCCATCCAAAGATGAAATTCGCCCAATAAATTTAACAGAATGCAGTATGTTAGCCATTCTGTTGGCTTTTAAACAATATTATGACAGCATGAATAAAATGGTAAAATGTTCTTGAAAAAAAATGAAACCGGAAGTTCAATGCGGATACACCTAAAACACAAATGTTAAATCCGAAAATAGGGCAGACTAAAACAGAATACGCTATAACAAAAACCAAAAACAAAACAAAACAAAACAAAACAAAACAAAACAAAACAAAACAAAACAAAACAAAACAAAAACAAAAACAAAAACAAAAACAAAAACAAAAACAAAAACAAAAACAAAAACAAAACAACAAAACGATGCCGCATGGAATTTTATGCCCACTGACCTGTAGCTCGGTGACACTGATATAATGTATTTTTAATTTGTTAAAAGCACGATATAAACAATATTTTAGAAAGGTGTATATAATAAAATCCATGTTTGTTGTATGGAAAGATAGATTTGTCACCAGCAGCCGGTTTGTAAATGGGAAGTCGACTAATTACATCCTTTGGTGAATAGTTGACTCGTTGGCAATCATACCACATCTCCTTATTTTTATATTCTTTCAATAAAATGCATGTTTCTACAATTTTCTTTCGATTTAACAAAAAATGAAACTTGGCGATGAAATTAATAGGTAGTACAAAATGTACCAAAAGCCCATTTATTTATTATAAGGATCATGAATATTTCCATGCATGCAATAGGACACTTACATACCTCTTCCGGAAGATTTGTTGAAAGTTTTTTTTCAAATATTGTTTTAAGGGGAAATAATAAATTGAAAAATTGCCCACTTGCACTTGATGGCAATGTTATTATTCAATTTTGAAAAATGGTAGGATAAATGAAAATGGATAAGATGTTAACTAACATAAGAAAACAATAGCTTCATTATAGCTAAGGAAGGGAATTGTGCATTATTGCGCTTCCTTCTAATGATAGCTGCTGGAGGAGTACGGTACATTGGTGCTGTTCTTCCTGGTGGTAGCTGCCGGAAGGAAACGCCGGAACATGATTCCTTTTCACTCCTTATAATAGCTAATTGAAGGTCTCCAACAATTAGATGCAGTGCCTTTACAACAAATTCAGTCAAGGTACCTCTATTGTATCGATATTAAAAGATTATAAACGCTCCTCATTTGATTAAAGATAAAAGCGCTGTAGTTAATCAATACATGTCATATTGCAGACTGCAATTGCTGTCACTAATTGTCCACCAAGAAATAATTTATAAGATAACGGTTACAAATGTTCGCCATCGATCAGACTTCATAGTTGGGTGCATTATTGTTAGTTATACGTCCTTGCTGGACTGGAATAGCAAAATTTAGCAAAAATGTTATCAAAACCTTTTAATACATGTGCTTAACATGGTACTATGATTTGTACTTCCTGTCACATATCAGTATTCATTATCTATACTATTATTGTACCTTTGTCTACCATATTGTTCTAATGTAAATATGTTCACACTTTTATTGTTTGTTAAAATGTTGTTCTAACATACACCATGTTGGGGCTTTAGTGAAATAAAATGTCGTATGTCTTATGTCTTATGTCTTATGTCAATATGACATAATTGTAGATCTTGTCTTGATGATAATTTTTGATATTGTAAGTTTCTCTCTATCTATTAGAGTTTTTAAGATATTAGGCAAAAATGCAAAACAAATGATAAAAATCGTCGTTTAAGGACAATATCTCCTTGAAGAAGTCTTCTTACACTTTTGATGTCAATAACATAGGTAGATCTCAAATGTCTGAACATTTATGCCCTTGTCAGATTTTCTCAATGTATAGGGGTTTTCCAGATAATAGGCAAAAGTTGCATGTCCTATTTTTAGCCATGTCGGCCATGTTTGTCGGCAAGCGGGGTCATCGGACACGTTTTTTGCACTAGATAACCCATTGATGATTGTGACGAAGTCTGATAAAATTTTGCCCAGTAGTTTCAGAGAAGATGATCTTTGTAAAAGTTGACGGACGACGACGAACAACAGACGACGGACGACGACAGACGACGGACGCCAAGTGATGAGAAAAGCTCACTTGGACCTTCGGCATACACGTGACAAGTTTTTTCAATGTAGTGGAAGTGTGATTCGATTTTTCCTCTACCGCAGTTCAGATAAACGGACTTCATGACAATACAAACAAACGCATCATCATGGTGTTTTAGTAATAATATAAAAATGATCAAAAAACTTTTGCTTCTAATATTGCTAATAAGATACCGTTAACGATGCCAGTATGAAAACGAGGGTTTATTTATGACTCAAAGATTTTATTTTGAACAACCCGTTTGTTAAAGATCATTTAATAATGTTTTATTTTGAAGAGAAGTATCGAAGTACATTTTAAGCATGTTTACGCAAGGTTTAACGTTTACTTGCAATTCAACCCTGCATTTAACCAAACTGAAAGTAGATAGCAAACTCTGTCAAAATAATTTTATAATAAACCTGTCAATTTCTAAACATTACCAGACATGTTAACTATTACAATACTGAATTTGTCAAACAAAAAAAAATCTACTTGGACATAATAGTACCAAGCGTATATTGAATCTTAATACTACAGTTAATTTACTTAAACTTTTAATAAATTTAATATGTCCACAGGAAATACGGAGATTTTTCATTGAAACTTGCGTTTGTAAAACTGATTATATCAAATCTATTTCATTTGTTTAAAGAGGCAAATATTAGCTTCGAGCATCACTAAATAGACCCATTGGTGGCCTTCGGTTGATGTCTGCTCTTTGGTCGGGTTGTTGTCTCTTTGACATATTCCCCATTTCCATTCTCAATTTTATATAAATTGTCGAAATGTACATCTAGTGCAGTAAAATTCCGTTTACATGTGACCATACCGACATAAATTTGAAAATGGAAATTCTTGACTGATTTTCAACAAACTGTCCGATCGTAAAATACTCGTAAGATATGACGAGAACACTCGAAAGAATACAATAGGCAATTAAGATAATTCCTAAGCATATAGTAAATTCTTTTTAACAATAATCCTATATAAGATATAGAAACAAAGCTAAAATTTAACGAGCCATAATCTCTGTTCATCCTGAATTTTAGATAAGGGTCATCAGCATTTCTGAAATGAGTTCCTCCGACATAAACAAAGAACAATACATATACTGACACCCTGTCTGCTTAACAAATTATTGGACCAATAAAAATGAGAATGGAAATGGGGAATATGCCAAAGAGCAGATAACAGCCGAAGGCCACCAATGGGTCTTCAACGCAACGAGAAAATCCCGCACCCGGAGATGGCCTCATGCAGCTGGCCCCTAAATAAAAATGTGCACTAGTTCAGTGAAAATGAACGTCACACTAAACTCCAAAACATATAAATGAACTAAAATTAAATCAAAGCACTGTAAGCGCTGTAGGCAGTTAACCAAAAACCAAGGCAAACGTAATTATGAAAACTGTGGCAGTGTTGCTTCAATTTTTTTTTAAGATTTGAAAGAACAAACATTAAACATTCGTATATTATTTATGTTCATTACAAGAATTGATTATTAAGGCAAATTAATTAATATTTCATCAAGGTTTTCAAAAGCAACTCATATATCAATGTAAATGACCCCCATCTTCACCCCCATATGCATGATGTTACTCCATACCAAGTTTGAAATAAAATGACAGGTGATTATAAAACAGTTGGTCAAACATTCTCGGGCTTTACACTGCTTGAAAGATTTATATGTTTTCTTTAAAATGAGCCATAACTGAAAATTATTATAGGCCCAGAAATAATTTAATAAATAATTAAAGTAAATTCAATTAACCTAGACTCATTTTTTGCATCAATAAAATTTTATAATAAACAAGAAATAATTGTAACAGGATGCCGTTACGAAGTCTCCCAAACAAAGCCCCCATAATTCGTCATTCCCATGGTCTCCTGACATTGGGCAAAGTCCAGTTCATATTGGTTTGGTCTAATAAAGTGATATGCATATGTGACACCTAGGAGATTGACCCTGTATGTCATTCAAATATTTTTGAAATGATGAACAGGAATAAATATGGTTTAGGTGTGGGTATCTCGACCGTTTACAAGTTCTCAAACAGGAGGGGTGGGGTGACCCCTGGGACTCCCCCTATATTTCATTTGATTTGTTATATTGTCCCATACATAAATACATATGGTTTAGGGGTGGTGATCCCGACCATTTCCAAGTTCTCAAACAGGAGGGGGTGGGGTGACCCCAGGGACACCCAAATATTTCATTTGATTTGTTATATTGTCCCATACATGAATATATATATGGTTTAGGGGTGGGGATCTTGACTGTTTACAAGTTCTCAAACAAGAGGGGGTGGGGTGTCCCCATGGACTCCCCCTATATTTCATTTGATTTGTTTATTGTCCCATACATGACAAGAAATAATTGTAACAGGATGCTGTTACGAAGTCTCCCAAGCAAAGCTCCAATAATTCGTCATTCCCATGGTCGCCTGACATTGGGCAAAGTCCAGTACAAATTGGTTTGTGATATGCATAAGTGACGCCTATGGATTAACCCTGTATGTCATTCAAATCTTCTTGAAATGACGAACAGGAATATATATGGTTTAGGGGTGGTGATCTCGACCGTTTACAAGATAAAAGCACATTCTCAAATTGAAGGGGGGTGGGCGTAAGAATATAAGGAGGGTGTGGGTTATCCCCAGGGGACTCGCCCTTTATTTCATATGATTTGTTTTTTTTGTCCCATACAAGAATATATATGGTTTAGGGGTGGGGATCTCGACCGTTTACAAGTTCTGAAACAGGAGGGGGTGGGGTTGACCCCAGGGGCTCGTCTTTTATTTCATTTGATTTGTTTTATTGTCCCATACAATAATTTATAAGGTTTAGGGGTGGGGATCTTGACCGTTTACAAGTTTTCAAAAAGAAGGGGAGTGGGGGTTACCCCAGGGGATTTCCCCTAAATTTCATTTGATTTGTTTTATTGTCCCATTCAAGAATATATATGGTTGAGGGTGGGGATCTCGACCGTTAACAAGTTTTCAAAAAGAAGGGGGTGGGGTGACCCCCGTGGACTTCCCCTATATTTCATTTCATTTGTTTTATTGTCCCATACAAGAATATATATGGTTTAGGGGTGGGGATCTCGACCGTTTACAAGTTTTCAACAAGAAGGGGGGGTGGGGTTACCCCCAGGGACTTCCCCTTTATTTCATTTGATTTGTTTTTTTTGTCCCATACAAGAACATATATGGTTGCGGGGTAGGGATCTTGACCGTTTACAAGTTATCAAAAAGAAAGGGGTGGGGTTTACCCCAATGGACTTCCCCTATATTTCATTTGATTTGTTTTATTGTCCCATACAAAAATATATATGGTTTAGGGGTGGGGATCTCGACCGTTTACAAGATAATAGCACATTCTCAAATTGAAGGGGATGGGTGGTGACCCCAGGCACACACCCTATATTTCATCTGATTTGTTTTATTGTTCTGTGATCATTTCTGAAGACTGCGTGTGTCTATCACTTACAATTTTCAAATTAAAGTCATTTGAAAATTTAAAAAAATAAAATCTCATAGGTTTCTATAGTAAACCCCTCTCTTCTTTATGCCCCTTAAAATACCCCTTAATAGACCCCAATGCACAAACAATTGGTTGATGGCTTCCTTAGACATGTTAATCTTACATTTTATGAAACCCTAAGTAAATCTGACAAGGGTTTTGGAGAACCGCTGCAGACAAGTTCATCTTTAAAGTGGCGGAAGAAGAAAAAGAAAAAGAAAAAAAAAAAGAAAAAGAAGAAGAATAATAAAAATAATAAGAACTGAGCAAAAACAATAAGTCTCCAAACTTTGTTTGGGAGACTTAAATATATATGGTTTAGGGGTGGGGATCTCGACCATTTCCAAGTTCTCAAACAGGATTCGGTCCGACTTGTCTCGGGGACGAGTTGTCCACATTACTTAAAACATCCCATCAACGTCGATTTCCGCATCTGTTTCATGGCCTCATTTTATTCATAAAATAACAACAACCTTATTTGGCAAGACAAGTTAAAAATTACCGCCCACTTATAAAACTTTATTTCCTCTATCATAGAGATTTGTTGTACATGAACAATATTCCTGCGCATTTTGCCATTTGGGAAATATAAACGACTTGTAATTACCGATTTTCGGCGATGAAATATTTCATACAATTGTTATTTGGCATCGTAGCCAAAAGCACAGGAGATAATAAACTACGTACGTATTTCTATTGAGCACTACTTCCTATGTGCAATTTCAAAAGTTTTGGGTAGTTCGACGATCATTTAAGGTTTTTCTGGTCATATTTTTTGTATTCCAGAAATAAAAGTATTAAAAAAATGTCCAATTAGTTATCAATAACATAATAGCCAGCTAGATAATAACAATGGCACGTATTTCAGCATTTATTGGGTAGAACACAAATCTAGGGTGCTCGCATAAGGCAGCTTAACTGCCTAAAAACATACAAGACTAACAAAGGCCAGAGGCTCCTGACTTGGGACAGGCGCAAAAATGCGGCGGGGTTAAACATGTTTTGTGAGATCTCAACCCTCCCCCTATACCTCTAGCCAATGTAGAATAAACAAACACACAGCGATACGCACAGTAAAACTCAGTTTAAAAGAAGTCCGAGTCCGATGTCAGAAAAGGTAACAAAAGAAACTAAGCAAAATAACAATGATACATAAATTAACAAAGGACTACTAGCAGTTCTGACATGACAGCTCCAGACCTCAATTAAACTGATTGAAAGATTATGTCTTCATCATATGAAAATCAAGTACAATCCCTCCCGTTAGGGGTTTAGTATCATACCATCATAAAATATATGAGAAGAACATAACCCGTATCATGCCAACAACTGGTTTTAGAATAAATGTGTTTATTTCCGATGCAAAGACCCTATGAGTGAATCAATATTAATACCAAAATATGCAATCCTTAATGACTTGACAACAGTATCGTAACTATATCCCTTCCGAATAAGTCTGTTTAAAGGTCTGATTAGCTTTTGAGGTGAATGCCGACATTTTTGTGCTTTGTAAAGAATATTACCATAAAATGTATGCATATATACTAAACTAAATCCTCTATGCACGTTTTTTTTTTACATCTATTACGAATCTATAACGTATTATCGACAATTAAAAGTTCATTCAGTGATTAAATATTGTTGATCGCAGAAGCTAATTAACTTTCGAGTTTGTTTCCAAGGTTTACCAGATCGTGACATTAATAAACAATCAACACAGAGCACGTGAAAAATAAGTGAACTGATAGAGCCATGATATTTTTTTTTTTATTTTCCATGCGTTCCCACTTGTTAGGTTGACTTTCATTAACAGTTGTTAAATGATTTGTTGTATTTAATCTGTTCTTTAAAAATCAGTTATTACTATTTACCTTCGAGTGCACGTTGGTTTACATTCCGTACCATTACTAGGCGGGTTTCCCCTGGCACTTGCACTGTGCGGTGGCCGAAGTTCTAAAGAGAATTCTCGTAGTTAAGAGAAAATATCGTCAAATTATAGTTCGGGAAGACAATATTTCAATAGCAGTACATTTATGAAGATTTTGATAATATAAAGGATTGTCTTTTACAAAAAAGCTCACGTACACTTGTTTTTTAGTAAAACTTAGCCATTCAAGTATTTAAAAGATATTCATCTTTTTTTAATATGAATTTAAGTTCTAATTGTTCGTGTTTCTTTTCTTTTCAATTTTGAAAATAAATATTGTTAGACATTTCCATCTCATAGAAGTTCAATCAAAAAGGAGATATCGGTATAAGCCAATGAGATAACAACCCAACGAACCATACATCAAAATACATCTACAGGTCAACACAAAGTCTTCAACAATGGACAAGTGCCCATCTAACTCACAATAACCCCGAATATAAAAAAGTTAACTTATTAGCCCGCGAGGTTGTGCGAGACCAACATAAATCTACCAATTACATAAGCCTTGCCCATTCATAGATTATTATTTGGTTTCACTTTAGCCGATATATTTAGAGAATGAGGTTTGGAGATTTTTATGTTTTATATTTTTATATACAACTATGTCATATTTGCTGTTGTCTATATGTCCTATATTCTTTTTCTTGAGTACTTAAAATGTGTTAATAATAAATTGTTGCATCAGTTTACTTACGCAAACTACAGCATACAAAGTGCACCATTCCTCCGAAATATTAAATTTCAAAAATGTAAATTTAAATTCTCCTTACCTTACAGTAAGATAGATTTTTCGATCTTCTTATGGGTTTTCTACGAACGAAAAGGTGAAGATCGAGAAGTTCTGGTATGTGACCGGTATAAACATGATAAGAAATATTTTTAGAGTAATCACGTGAAAAAGATATCTGTATAAAACTCCTTCTGTAGGACTTTTGGAAGCCATATAAGCATAGGTAAGTAATATGTACCTGCAAGAGTCATGATATTTACATACTAAATATGAATTTATACAAAAAGTAACTTATCAGGAATACAATCTTAAAGGTCACTTAATTTTAATTCTATTTTATAATTAAGAGATATACATTATTATAATAAAATACTTCCTGTAGCTCAGGTGTAGAAATAGCATTCTATGGGCACAAATGTGTGTACAAATGATAATTTCTTGGTATTTCAATATTTAAGTGAAAACCCAAAGAAGCATATAGCCTATCCAAACCCAAGTGCATTCATGTAGCATTGATTCTTCTTATATCGATTTATCTGTCCATCTTTATACTATATGTATTGAATTCGTGGTTAACAAATATATTCAGTCAAGGTTGTGTTCATCTATTAATAAACTGATAAAACAATAAGATAAATGTAAAGGTTTAATTTAAAACAGAAATATGTTCAACGAAGTGGCATTTTGTTTCCAATATTGTAGGCATTAAGCTGCAGTTATGTCAGTCAACCAACAACAGAAGCGCGCAATGAAGCGCCTTATGCAAGATTATGATGAAATTCAGAGAGAGCCAGTGGAAAATGTATCAGCAGCTCCATTGGAGGAAAATGTGTTTGAATGGCACTGTAACTTCAAACATGACGACATAATTTATCACTTACTACTACTGTTTACAGACAAATATCCATACGAAAGTCCGAGTGCAGAATTCGTACCAGTTGGTTTCCATTACAACAGCGGAGCAACAAAACAAGGAAAGAAAGGAACCAAAGTTTGCTTGAATATATTTTCTGACTTTGCTGATATTCATACAGAATGGAAAGATGAGAAATCTGTTGGTTGGTCTCCTGGTTACACAGTACAGACAATTCTACTAAACGTAGTTGCTTTTCTTGCCGAGACGCAATCCGGAAGTAGTTGGTGGTGCTTTAATTCAAATGACCATAACTTGAAATTATCGAAGTCATTCTCGTGCAAGGACTGTGGTCATAATTATAAAAAACCGTTTCCACCCATCAATGCAGGAAAACCTGAATTGCCTTTAAAAAAGCAAGACTCCAAAAAGGGGAAGAAGGTTGTGCCGAAAGCAGATTCGTCAAAAGAAGTTATCATTGACTATATGTCCAAGGAACAATTTTCTTTAGCCGTCCCAAAAAGTGACGAAGATCTATTTGGTTATGGACTGATTGTGTCTGGACCGACACATAGACCATCTCTTACCACACCTTGTGAGTTTCTGAAACAAGAGTCATTCACAAGCATGAACAAAGCCATGGGTTGCGTCAAAAGTGTAATGAAAGAAGATGTAAAATTCTTTCTTCCGATGTACATCCATCCTCCACATGGTGATAAAATAAAACAGACATTTGAAAATTCATTAGTCCAGGTTGCTGGAATACTTAAGAGCTGTAACCCGAAGAAAACTCCAATAGAAGAAATTGTCATTCGTGTCATACCAAACTTAATGAGCGCCACTGTAGTAGAATTTTCTAAAGGAACTCAACATACAAGCGACAATAGTCTGAATGGATATTTCTCCCTACACAGATTACTACTATGGGCATTAGAAATCTACCCAAATCTTCAAAAACTTATTGACGATCGTTTGAAGGTATGAAGTTAGCATAAAAAAAACTAAAATATAATTTCAAATGAATAAAATGAAAATCATTGTATGATTTTTATTATATATTTTTATGATGATTCCGGACAGTAATGTAAGGTTGCTATTTATAAATGACACAGCACGTGTTTAATAACTTTATTAAAGAACTATGTATTGAGATATAATTATTTTACCATTTAAAAGTAGTCATTTACATCTGGTGCAAGATAAAATTATATGTTTTTAATGCTATATTTTAAAGGAATTCATAGAAAACGAAGACAGACGAACAAAGAAAGCATGTCCACATATAGGAGAGTGGCTGATGTTACTAGCTGCATCTTCGAAATTTAGGTTAGTACTTTTAAGGTGACGCTGTTATTGAATACTATTCGGTGACGAAGCGCACACGAATGACAATGTCACCTTAACTATACACTTACTTTAGTGGTAAGTTAAGATGTTGGAATAAGCAGTATATTTAAAAAGAATTTTTTAAATTAAATTTATCAACTAGATGTTAAATCAATGCAAACTATACACCGTAACACAGCCCTTATGACCCACTATAATTACACTTTTGAAAACAATTTATTATATTTTTTGTACATTCAGATGGCAAGATGCAGCAATGGCGTATATGTCTGAGAGCTGGAGACGACATGTAATGTGGTATGTTAAAGAAGACTCTAAGCTTGGTTTCCTGGACACAGACAAAGACTACAGAATCAAACAAACATTTGAACGCACAGCTGTTAGCAGAAAACTTTTAGCCTTTCAGGTTTTGTTTTTGGATATCGCCGTGCCAAAGGACAAAACAAGAACGGACTTGATCAAAAGATACGACGCAAACCTCGGTTTTCCTACAGCAGACATGGTGAAAGTGATGAAAGAATCCATTGAAAAATTGAAAAATGTCAAAACGTACAAGGATTGGTTCGATGTAAGTTCTTCAAGCATTAAATTGCTATATGACTAGGCATGATAGTAGAAATTAAATAAAAAAAATCGGTCTTATGTTAAGTGTTGTGGGTTAAGGTATAATACTATAGTAGCAGAGAATTTCAAAAGTTATAATGGTGGGTTATATGTAAGTTCTACAGCTTAAATGCTATGTGTTAAGTTCTGTTAATTCAATTTAAGCCACATTTTGTCCGTTGTAATTTAGTCCAGTCACTGGCAAGAGCATTAAACATGTATTTAAAAACTTTAAAATATAGACATCGTGTGCTAAACTTCAATGAAACGTACATTCAACTCCAATAGTTGTAAAAGATAAAATAGAAATAACATCAAAACCCAGGTGGATTTACAGTTAAAAATACAAGAATAAGATTTTCCAAAAGATTTCGATGCGGATCTATTTTTAAAGATCTGCTTATTGAAGACGTCAGTGTTCAAAATGTGGGGTATGGGAAAGATTTTCTAATCGTTAACCGAAACCGAAGAGAAGAAGCCAATATACAAAACTTTATTTTGTAGGTCCTGAAAGTTAAACCTCTTAGTGAACAAGAAATTTATGATAAACTGTTAGATTCTGTAAATTATTCACTAAAGACAGATGGTTACAGATGGACATTTTGGAAGAACGCTGGTGGATGGATGGAAGTTTTAAAGCGATATCCGATAGAAAAGAAACGTATGTTAATTATTAATAACTACGAGGAGTCAGCATTCAACTAATTCTAGCTACTCTACCAACTCCGAGATCTAGGGACAAATTCTAACCATATATTATTTTGAAAGTCGGTCTATGTCACTGTTTGACTCTTGAAGTATGGCTCAGACTCAGTAAAATACCGTCGATTCCTACTAAGATAAGAAATGTTCCGAGTAATGTTCCAAGTAGTTAATATAAAAATAAGAAGATGTGGTATGATTGCCAATGAGACAACTCTACACGAGAGACCAAATGACATATAGACTGAGTTAACAGCTAAAGGTCACCGTACGGACTTCAACAATGGGCAAAACCCATACCGCATAGTCAGCTATAAAAGAGTCCGAAATGACATGTAAAGCAATTCAAACGAGAAAACTAACGTCCTGGTTTATGTAAAAAACAATGAACGAAAAACAAATATGATATACAGCAGCAAACAACAACCGCTGAATTACAGGCTCCTGACTTGGGACAGGCACATACAGAATGCGGCGGTGTTAAACATGTCCTAACCTGGGACAGTGATGTAACTGCACAACATAATTATGAATAAACTATAAAAATCAGATAAAAAGGGCCGCAAGTTAACTCGTCAGATCGATACAAAGCAGAAAAACAAATGGCAGGATATTTATACATCCCCACAACAAAAGACACTAAGTACAGAACTGAGAGTACTGACAGTTATTGACAGCTAGTTCAAAGCCAATAACAACTAAAAAAATCATTTATCTCAGTTAAGTATGGTTCAGATTTAACCGCGTACAGTTTATAGTATTGATAAATTCAGTTGAACCGGCCGACCACAGTTCTGACTCCGTTATGTACGGCATAAACTTATTTTAGTTGAGTACAGTTTAGTACTGTTCAGTACAATTAAAATACCAGTTAATGCAGAGTCTAAACTAGATAATTTAAGGAAATTCAGGATTTTCTAGACTGGTACAATTAGGTTAATAAATTTCAAACTCTTCCAGGTTTGTAATTTTTCTGCACCTTATTTCATGCAATGATAAAGAGAATAAAACAATTATCCTTTAAGAACATAATAATGTACAACAAATACGACCTTAGTTGCTGGAATGGGATACGATTGTAAAATATATAATAAAGGTTATAAAGCGGAATGAAGCAATCACGAATTGTCCTACACTTGATGTTGTTTACTTTATGTTTTTTTAATTCTTTTCCTAACAGCTAAAGCTGAGAAGGATAAAGCAAGTACATCTAAAGGCAAACCAACCAAGGAAGATGAAACGTCAAAGAAAGGTAAAGGTCAAGGAAAGAAATCAAAGGAAGAAGATATTGAAGAACCAAAACCAAAAGGTCGGGGAAAGAAAGCTAAACCCGAAGATGTCGAAATTGAAGAACCAAAACTAAAAGGTCGGGGAAAGAAAGCTAAAGCCGAAGACATGGAAATTGAGGAACCAAAACTAAAAGGCAGGGGAAAGAAAGCTAAAGTCGAAGATGTGGAAATTGAAGAACCCAAGGCAAAGGGACGGGGAAGAAAAGTTAAAGACGAAGACATGGAAATTGAAGCACCAAAACCAAAAGGCCGGGGAAAGAAATCTAAAGTCGAAGATGTGGAAATTGAAGAACCCAAGGCAAAGGGACGGGGCAGAAAAGCTAAAATAGAAGATATGGAAATTGAAGAACCAAAACAAAAACAAAAATTTCGGGGAAAGAAAGCTAAAGAAGAACTTATGGAAGTAAAAACACCCACAACGCCCGTCAAAGGCCGAGGAAAGCGTAAAGCTGAAGATTCACCAGCGATTGGACGTAAAGCTAAGAAAGCCCGTTGAAAGAGATGAATAAGTTGAACTTGGTGTTGTAATGGTTCTAATATATTTGTTGTGAAGTAATAACTGGTTGTATTACCTTGCCAACTTGATGGATATTTATTACTATATGTATATGACAATCATTGGAGACAAGTCTTCTGTGTATCCCGATAATGTTGTAACTTACATTACTGCAGTGACATTACTTATGTAGTTTAAATCACCTACAAAAACGTTTATATGTAGTATTGTTATGGAAATAACAAACATAGATACTAATTGTTATGGAAATAACAAACTTAGATACTAATTGTTATGGAAATAGCAAACTTATATACTAATTGTTATGGAAATAACAAACTTAGATACTAATTTGATTCTCAGCAGTGTAAAGTAACATAGTGATATAATTTACTGGGGTTAACTATTTTAATGCTAGCTGAAAATTTGTTTTGATTAAAAAATATATATTTTGTTGTTGTTGAGGTTAGTTTAAATAACAAAGTAATCTTAGGGAGCATCCTTGCATACCTAACGCATCAAAATCAATAAAATAAAACAACCAGGAAAATGAAAACTGATAGTTACATTGTATCATTTGGCAGCAGGTTCAACCAGCCAACCAACCAAATTGTATGTATCAGAAAATCAAAATTCAGGGGACAAAACACGAACTAAACAAATTAAAATACCCAAGACAGTTCCAGTGCAACAAAACCAGAAGAACACGAACAACTGACACCATAAGTTAGGGTTTTTGATAATACGACCGGCGTGATATCAGAAGTTCCGAAGGGTAAACATATATCCGGATTCGAACGAGTAACGCATCATTTTGCCTAGTGGTCAATGCCAACGATTAACCAAGTTCGGTAAGGATAAAATTTAGAAATAAAAATGTTGAAGTGTTAAGAAAATATGTCTGAATCAACATAACACTGATAACTTTTGTGGCGATATTTACACAGTGTATAATCGACATGTATCTTTATATAAAAAAAACGACAGCAAACCACTTCTTTTACACCTGGTAAAGCTGATCAGCATCAACATCAATTGCTCCATGTAATAATAAATGAATCAAATCTCCACCGAATGTTCAACACTTCAACAGGTAAAAGAACAAACACTTGACCTTATCCTTATCAACAACCAACCTTACTTAAACATCGTAACAACGCTACCATCTATTGGGCTAAGTGACTATGCTATTGTCTACGCCGAACCAGACATCAGAAAAGGACCAGAGGTAAAGTGTATAAGTACAAGGCAAACTGAGAATCCATCAAATTAAACCTAGAACAAATAAACTCAGAACTGTATAACTTTTATTCAACCACAAATGTAAACTACCTGCGGGAACTATTTCATTCAAAATTCATTGAATCAGTGGAATCAATCATACCACATACAAACATAGATAACCATAGATAAATGAAACACTCCGACGACTCATTAACAAGCAAAGTAAACTATACAGAAGAGAGAGTATAAAAATTACACTGACAAATATAAGGCACTAACTACGATTACGTTGAAAACGTAACAATAACGTTTAATAATTATTGTTAGGTTTAAGACTAATTGCCGAAATTCGAGGTCGGGTGGGAACTGATTGATTATGAACGTAATAATAATATTTGTGTCTACGGTTACATTGCGTTATTATTACGCTTTTATTCTTAATTAATTCAACAATACAATATTGCGTATATAAACATTGTATAGTTTATTCAGAATAACAACTTCCGCACATCCAGTAAGTGCTTGGGTATTTTTGGTAAGGCCGACGCTTTTTGTGTGAAACAACAGTCAAGGCAGCCATCACAAACGACGGACGCCACAATGTGCACAACAGTTTTGCACATCAAACAATTCTGCTCTGCAATATCCCTTTTGCTCGTAATAACACCTTTTAGTGACTGTCATGCTTCTGGTGAAAAGTTCTTTTTTTTATCCTCGTCCAAAAGTTTTGTCGAAACATATGCTGTTGTATTATCTTGTCTATTTGATTATATCCTTTCTGTTCATTACTTATGAAAGGTTCAACTCAGCTTTTAATATTGTGTTAAATATAAAGTTCAATCGTGTAGACATATTGATTCACAGAACTATAAAAGATATCGAGGGGGGGGGACATGCAGGGGAACTTGAACTGTTGAAGAGTGTGTCCCTTCTCCAACCCAATAATACATAATGATGATATAATAGATGGCTAATAAATTGCTTCTTTGGTAATAAGATTAGGAAACAATGAGATTAAAACTTCAGTTTCGCCACATGCATTCATATAGATATCTGGAAGAACATTAAAACAATTAATACTCAACTATTTGAACATTATTTGTTGAAATGTAATATAAATTATAATTATAATAACCAATTATATCAGAGAATCCAGCAACACAACATAGTCTCGCAATGTAACCGTAGACACAAATTTTATTGTTACGTCCGTAATTAATCAGTTTCTAACCAGATCTTGCATTCTGGCCATTAGTCTTTTAAAACGTAACAGTCATTTTTCAAATTATTGTTATTGTTACGTTTTCAACGTAATCGCAACCAGTGCCTAAATATTAAAAGCTCAAACCACAAGTACAAAAAGAACAAAGAGTTACATACTAGAAATACATCAAGAAACTGAGTTGATATGTGACTTACCCATTAACGAACCAGACATTCCATCAGTCAATCAAGCAAAACCAAAGATTTTTTTCAAGTACATGAAATCATTCAGGACAGACAAACCAGGAATAGCTGCTCTCAAAAATATGAAAATCTTATTACAGATACTGTTGAAAAAGCTAACGTCCTAAATGAACAGGTTCATTCAGACTTTACATCAGAAACTAATGATCATATACCAATTAAACAGGAAAGCTCTCATCCAATTGTTTCAGGACTAAACATCGATACACATGCATAACAAAACTACTTTTTTAACAACATCAACCCAGTCAAATTTCCCCCATCTTTTACAGTTTTCAAAATTTTAGACAATTGTTAACCACTATGTTCTATTTTCAATCATGATTGGTTCCTAGGCCACAGTGGAATTCTCAAACTACCTTGTCTTGCTGGTTATTTTTGCTGTGTACTGTTTTATCTATGTCTGTTTAGGATTTCTCTGTATCTATTACATTGTAGTTTTTCAAAATATAGACAAAAATGCTATATTTAGCTAAAAACCATATTTCAGGACTATTACATCTATAAGGCAGCCATATACGGTTTGAGTTATATTTTTTTTTTTACTGTGACTGGACTATAGGTGTTGCTGTTTACCTTTACCTATTGTTCAACAAGATTGTAAAATTGACAATACAATTGGGACATTTAAATTGACCAGTTGGTATTGTTAGAATTGAGTCTACTTTTTACTGTTTTTTTAATTCACCTAACCCAACCTTACAGCATGCTTTTTTCCTGAAGTTTTTCTTCACCTAGGGTTATTCTATTAAAAATTGATAGGGAAGAAAAATGTTTGGTTATCATTGTTTTAAGGGCATACGATACAGTAGCAGGGGCAGATAATAACGTTTTTAAAACTTTTCGTGTTGTTTTCGCGACGTTGTTAATCAGAACGTTGTAATTTCGCGATGTTTCTAATAAGAACGATTACATTTCGCGACGTCGCTTTAGATGTAGTCACATTTGCGGAAAATCCACTGACGTCATAATCCCGATTGCGCGAATTTGAAAAAAGTACCTGCAATGGAAATCGGCCAAATCACGAGAATTGTTATATTTATTCATTAATAAGGAAGTCAACAATATTAACTTCGAATGGGGAAAAAATCAAATCCACATTCTTAACTTTGTATGTCTGTTATTTCATATAGGAAATGAATAAGAGATATGAAAATAATTTATATAGTAACTTCACCATTTGGCTCACAAAAAAAAACGTAATATTAAATAATGACAGCGCATCTTACTGTTCCTGACTTTGAAAAGGTACAATAAAGAGTTTAACGACATTTTAGAATTTAACCCGTGGAATATATATGTGTATGAAGAAGAACTGTCAGTTAAAATGACACAGTTATAAGCCCCGTATTATAGCCCAAAAACAAAAACGCACCCGTTGATGTGCTAAGCATATCCTCTATGTACATATTGAGAGAGAAAAATCGGCACACAGGAATTTGGTATTTGACAGACCAGAGTTGCAACTCATTGATGTTATTAAGTTACTGAACAATACGAAGTCTTTTTGTAAAGAAGTTTCTCAGATAAGATAAATATATTTGTTGGACCGGACAAACAATGTGGTTGCACTCACTCCTAGATTGAAGGTATAATACAGACAAGTAATTCAATGATTATATGTACCGTAATAAAAAAAAATACCCTGAAGACAAGCTTAGGTAACTTATCTATTGATACAGAATCATTAAATTTCATGCTCTTATATCGACTGCTGTATGAAATGTTATACTACACTGTAATGGACTAAGCTGACCCGATTTAATGTGGGTATGATTTGTGTTCATGTAATGCCTATTGAGTAGGTCGTTAGTTTTCTTGTTTGAATTATTTCACATTTTCATGTCGGGGCTTTTTAAAGCTGACTATACGGTGTGGCTTTTTTTTTCTTTCTTTTTTTTTTTTTTTGTGTTGAAGGCCGTAGGGTTACCTTTAATAGCGTTTATCTTCGTCATTTGAACTATGGTTGATAGTTTTCTATTTTGCAATCATACCAAATGTCCTTTTTTTTATATCATCCCCCTTACTTTATAATTGTTGCACATTTTGTCATGCCGAGGCCTTTTGAATAATTAAAACTACATGTATGTTCAAGCTGTGTTGTCTACATGAATTGTATGACTAATGTCGGACATGCAGAGATGCAAATTATTTTTTTTATTATATATATCTGTTTTGTTTCCGAACATTTCTTTTCTAAAAGTAATTTACTAGAATACTTTTTCTATGCAAGTTTCGTAACAATTCATAAAGGTTTGGCAAAAATGATGCTATTTACGAGGAGCCAGTTTCATTAATTTTCATGATTAATATCATTGGTTTAAAAAAAAAACCTTGGCTCTACCACTGAAATTGACAACGTAGTAGTGAACGGCGGGAAAGATTTCACGACGTTGTTGCGAATAAAACTTATTCCAACGTAGTTTGGCGCCTTATTGGCAAACGGGACGTTTGCCAATAAAAATTATGGTTTATTGCTTTTATTGAAAAAACAAGCACATGGACCCCCAGTTTTTTCTTTTGCAATCAATCAAGTTCTGTTTCAAGAACGCTCCGCCAAAATTTTAAGAAAAAATCAACGATAGAATTTTTTCTGCACTTCTGTGTAGACGCAAAAATATTTTCATCTTCTTTATTTCACTTGTATTAAAAGAATTTAGGATATAAATATTTATTTCAACCGTTAACTTGTTACAGCATGCTGATGCCATGGATCAAGGGAACATTTTACAAAAAACCCGGTTAAATTATGACTGTTCGT